ACTGAGACCCAGCCATTGTTTCCCACAGCATTGTTGTTTTTCAGTATTTTGTCTTTTAATCTATATATATATATATCTATCTATCTATCTATATATATATATATATATATATATATATAAATATATATATGTATATATATATATGTATATATATTAAAGAGACAGTCACTGCTAATGTTGTGGTTATAAGGTGATTCATCGTTACATTAAAACTGTAACCGTCTTTTAATTCAATGATTTCTAATTCATAGATACTGTACATAGTATCAGGGACGTCTGATAGGACTGTACCTTGACTTAAAATGCTACTGCTTTATACGGAATTTGCTAATAAGATTTGAATTGCCTACTTTATTTTTTTCGTCATTTTGTCATAACTTGATACCATGACTGTGCAGGCTCCACATCCTCCTTCACCACAGCCAAGTTTGGAACCTGTCAACCTCACTTTTATGTCATTTTCATTAAGGAAATTGAAATAAAACTAAATGTCATTTTTTATTTTAATTTAATCTTAATAATAGCGTGTTAGTTCCAATTCATAGGATACATTTCAGTCGTAGATAACTGAGTAAGGTCATACTAGGATCAACGTTGTTGTCGGTAATCTGAAAATAATCAATAATTTACAAATTGAAAGCATAAAAACGTTACGATATTGGGTCAAACAAATCTCAAATCAATTCCCTGTTTACTAACATAAACCCGGTTGGCCTATCAGCAACCAGCAATTGTTTTCTCAACCACTGAAATGTGTTACTTATACCTCTACTCCATAAAAATTCTCTTAGAAAGATAAAGATCATATCACTCGGTTTTTGAAGGAGAAATTTATGTTCATCACATCAAGGAGTAGAGGCCGGTGTACTTACCATCAGGAATGGAGGTACATCGAGATTTGTTTTATCATTTTCCTCCCCTTTTTATATACACCTGCAATCTTTTTAAGTCAAATCTAAATTCTTTTCACAGGACTTTCGGATCAGAACATATGGAATAGTCTCCAATTAGAGGATTAGCTCTGTGTTAACTGGTTAAAGATTGAAGATTGTTAATTGTTAAAAGTGGTCAGTTATTAAAAATTAATTACCCAAATAGAACCAATTTATGCTTTTAAAACTTTATTTAATCGTACTTCTTTAAAACAATTGATATGTAAGAAAACATTACGTAAAGTACAGTACACACCTTTCGTCCATTACAGAAGAAAATAAGTTGAGTTTCCTGCTCAGTAAACATGTTGTTCTCTCAATACTCCAATCTGTGTCAAATGTCTATTTAAAAAATAAAGTCAACTGGATAAAGAAATATAAGAGGTCTGCTCAGTAGACCTATGTTGATGTTTACCAAATGGTTGTATGAAAACAAATTATCTTTCCTCGCAATGGCATTCATCAATATAATTCAGAAATAGCTATAAAATTTAATGTTTTTAACTTGTATTATGTAGGTTTTATCAGGTTTGCACCGGATTGGAGGGCCATTGCCCTTCACGGGTGCATTTTCCTCACTGTGTAGCGTACCGGCAGAAAGCAGTAGCAAATTACTGCTGGTACACTGCTTTTACCCACTATTAACATGCATAATCATGACGTATCTAAATAAATTAAGAGGAAAGACCTAAAGTTATGCCTCACTTGGTTACTAAAATGTAATTTTGAATGACAGGATAATTTTGGCAGTTGTTATGCCTACCGGCGACTTTCTAGACAATTTTTGGCGAATACTTAGTATCAAAGGGTTTTTATTGGTTCAACTACACTGATACAGTAATTATGTTATATCGTCTTTGGCTAAATATATGACAGGGATTGAAAAATATACCTGACAATTAAGGATTATATTACAATATGTTATTTCAAAAAATCTAATGATGAATTTACTATTTTTCGCTCTCACTTTACCAATTAATGTAAAGAGAAAATCTGCTTCATCATGCTTTGAAGGTGAGCCTTTTAAGACCAATTTGTCATTTGTTTATTGTTTCCAGATGGGAAGCGGGCCAACCAATCGGATTTGCCATAACGTTCGGTTGGTGTTTATAGTGTTTGCAACTTATAAACAAAATACGTTATCGAGATCATTTGACTCAATTTAACCGGTTTTAAGTAGTTCAAACTGAAGGAAGCTGCCCTTCGAAGCCAAGTAATTTTTAGTTCTCATGTGATGACAAAGACAGAAATTGTATTCTCTTTAGTTTGTGTTTGTTGACTTGATTTTGAAAATGGTAATCACTTCTCTGACCTGACAATGTTGCCTTAAATGATATATGAACAATATTTAGGGCCCAGGAAAAATCCGTCACAGTTATTTCTATATGATTAATGTGAAACTAACACAGCTATAATATTATATTAGGAAATAGGTGGGGTTTTTTTTAAGATACACCGACTAAATAGGTAGAAAACCTACCAAAGTTAAGGGGGTGGGGGAAGAAAAAAAATGATAGCCAGAAGTCTCAAATGTTATTTTCGGAGTCTGGAACACAAAAATTTGACAATGTTGTCTCGATCTGCAAAACTTTCGGCACCCCTTTTGGACATCTCTGGATCCGCCCTGTTAATTAATACATGTTTTTATTATAACCGTTATAACGACATACAGTATTCACATTCATCCTATTCTTTCTTCCAGCTGTTTCCAATCCGCAACAATGCTTGCCTATAAGAAACAAAAGCACGGAAATGCAAACGATTCATTTCATGAAGTGCTAACTGTATAATATTATTGACATTAATTGTTTTTCAACAAATTAGTTCCTCGAAAGTGTTCATATGGTGTATTTCGTATTATATGTATTATTCCAATGATGCTTAAGTAAAATGGCCTTGTCAATGAAAATGTTTATAAGCGTTAGTTTAAAAACATAGTCTTTCGGATTCATTTGTTTAAAATTCAGAAGTGTGTATACCTATTTAATTTGCTTTCACTTGTATCATTTATGGCTACGTTTGATTATTTTCTTAAATTGTATCTTTTATTTAATTATTCTTTTTGTACCCTAGCTACTATCGTCATGCATTGGCAGTAAAGACAATATTAAACATGAATTGAATAGTGTACCATCAAAAATGAATCGCCTGATACGTCATCGGTTATAAAAAATAACTGTCACGTAACTCAGTGACCTTAAGAGGCTGCCATTTGTTTACTTGGACATGGCGCTTAGAGACGCCTTAAACATTTAGAGAGCAGCTTAGCTCAGTCGGTTCAATTCCCATCGCTGCATCTCCTTGTGTTTCAGCTGGAGGGGTGAAATAAAAGTTACAATAGGGCACCGTCTTTCGGATGAGACGTTTAAGCCGTTGGTTTCGTGTGCATATGTCCCACGTTCACATTAAAAAACGCAGTACTCTCTTAGGAAAGGAGTAGGGGATTGTCTGCTTGTGTATCAGCCTACTTAATTACCACCAGAAGAACCCCACTGGAAATTAGTTTTCTTCTAGACTTTCGTGGCCTATCCTTGCTGTTTACACACACTGAATAAATCCAATCCAATCCGACCAATTATTATTATTGCATCTATGGACAAACGTTATACTACACCACTATATTACATTTTGCAACATTATTAAATTTGAGACATCAGCAGCGTCTTTTTTTATTTGGTGTAAATGGCGTAGAGGAGAGGCAATATATCATTATGCAGTGCACACACAGGTTTGAGAAGCTTAAAAATGCACCGAGTGCTTGGACTTTTCCGGAGTGTCAATCAAACTTAACAACTGACCAATCAGAACAGGGCCAGGAATACGCACGTGTGTCTAATAAAGCACATGTGTTGCCCCAGAAACGCACGTATTTGGGTATGTTTTAATGCAGTCGTTTTGTGGGACCTTAGAAAGGTCCATTGTCTTCTTAAAACATATCATTCCACGTTTTCACCTTCTTCCCAAAAACCATGACTCAAGATATCGCGATAGTGTCCGGTGGGAACTCTACCCTAATTTAAGGATGATGGCTTTAAGACTATCTTTTAAGGATGATAGCTTTAAGACTATATTTTGAGTGTGTGTTTCTTTTTATTGATAAAACATATAGAAGCTTCTAGCATAATATGCCAAGTAGGAAAATGGGCAATACCGTACTTGACAATTGGGGAAACAGGTAACCTTTGATAAATAGACACATCATAAATAAAAATTGAGTACACATAAAAATGGGTCTAGTTGTTAACTGACACTTTTCTGTCACCCGCAAACACATACAATGTGTGTAGAAAACAATTCCACAGCTAGTATAAAAGGAAACATTGTTTATTTTATTTATGCACAGATGATTACTTTATACACACATCAATATCTTAATAATATAATTAATATTACACTCATACAAAAACAATACATTTCTACCGGTATAGAAAACACCAAATAGCATATAATGTAAGGTATACCTAATTACATTATTATGTATTCATTATTTGTGAGGACAAACATTCATATATTCATAGGCATAATTATCAAAAGTAATTTGGTATTTCGCCATATCAAGTTATTATCAAGTGATTTATAATTGTTCGTTCAGTTTTATGCAATACCTTCCGAAAAATTTACCACTTGCCTTGAAAGTGAGAGACAGCGGATTCAAATCCCACCAGACTTTTTTCAAACAACTGATGATGAACTATGTCCCATACAATCTTTAAAACACTGTTCCTTTATTCGAGAACTAGTTCTACCATTATTTGATAATGCTGTATGTGTATTCTACTATTCTTTGATATGTATACTTCTACTTCTACGACGATACGCTGCATAGTCCAACGGTTTGGATGTTCCGCAAGAGGTCTATATTATTAGTATGCGTCCAGATCACCAAACGACAAAATTACGAATATCACAAACAATAAAAGAACGTGAAAAATAGAACTATACAGTGGTCTAAATTGTACACTTTATGGAGTGGTCTCGCAGTATCAGTAGTCCAATAAATAATATCAAAGTGAGTGTTTATTAATAAATTACTATAGGCCTACCATTTATAATTTCGTATTTCTTCATTAAAGGCTCTTGGTGGGCCACCTCTATTTTATTTTATACCGTACTGTTTTTTAATTCACTATTTGTTATATTATAATTTCAGTTTCCCTCGGCTACCGGGAACCTTACATCAATCTTTGTCAGATCGTAGTACCTTCCGAAGCAGTCAATAAAACAAATGGAATAGTAAAAATCATTATCAACATTCGCTGCCGTAGCTCCGGTGGGGTTGTTGAGACACTGCTGATGTTATTCTGACAATCTGCTGCCACTGGTATTGCGCTTTGCTGGATGCTTTGCAAGACCGTGTGATCTCGTATAAGGGAATTGTTTAAATAAGATTTTAATATTTATTAGGCCATATCGTGGATGATTGCTGTTGACACGGTAATATCCATGAGGGCTTTCAACTACGCGTAATCAGTTAAAAATCAAACGCCATCCATTTTACTCGTGTATCTATAGAAGTAAGTTCTATATAGAAGTAAGTTAGACAGAACTTAAACACTCGGTAATATGTGAAATACCGCCACTATTTATTGTCTTCTTTCTCATTGTTTTGAATGACGGTGCAACTGATTCTACGCTATGTATTGAAGACGCAAATAAATGAATATATATGTGAGAAAATGTTATTTTAAGGCATCTGAGAAAACTCAGAAACAGCAAGCTGAACCATGCAATCAATATTAATTATATGAAACTTAACAGAAGAGGACTATTCGAAAAATATATAGGCCTACTTTACTGAAGTAGGCCTATACAATAATAGGTCCATGGCCATAGGATTCCACAATCTATCACGCACAATAGATAGACTTCATCAAGTTTTTTGTCCAAAGACGGGTAATGTGACCAGCATTGGATTTAAGTTTTGTGAGCTCTTGGTTAACAGCCCGAAGTTTAAAGCTGTCTCACTTCCAATATAAAACTAGCCAATTATTCGATTTTAATTTAGGTACTCACCCACTGTTACCTCTCTCACGCCTAATATAATAATATATGAAACAGACAGAAAAAACACCAGAGTTTTTTATACCTGTGTTTATTCAAAATAGCAACCTTATTTAAAATACCCACATTATTAGTAAAACAAAAATATATAATTGCTCTTATTTATTTCCAACCGTTTCCAGTCGTACCTTTTTGTAATGAAGTATATCGGATGTTATTTGAATCTGTTCAACCAAGAAGCCTCTGTGGTAGGTTATGACGCTCGTCTTGACAGCTAGAGGTCGCAGATACGAATCAAGTTGGAGGGATTTTATTACAGAGCTATGCTACACGATGTACCATCATGTCCATTATTTGAACACTGTATTTAACTTTCTTTGATTGTTTATATATAATATAACAGTGCTAACGGCTTTATTATTATA